GGTTTTGCACTTTTGAATATAGGTTATTTGAAAATGAATAGTGTGCACACAGAATTCCAGTAGTGATAACTCTGAAAATGTTCATTACATTGAAATACTGTTTTTTTTTTACAACACATGGTCATAATTACTAACTGCTGAGCATGGGAAAGAAGCAATACGTTACCTGTCTCCAAGGGAGATTGTGTTTTGAGACTTTGCTATTTGCAAGGCATCAGGCTAAGCCCTGAGATGTGACACTGGGTTCTCACTCTCTGTTTTTCTTTTTCTTCCCAGACTGAATCAGTGCTAAACTTTGAGGAATCTGGAAGCAAAAGGGCTGGAAAGTTAGCCAATTTTTTAAAAAGGAAATTAAACAAAAATGAAATATGAAAAAAATCACCCATTTGTCTCAGTAAAGTGAATACACAAAGTCATTATTATATACTCTATATATGAAAATAATTTGTTTCTAAGTCTCCAAAATCTTAAATTGATTGAAATAGTTTTTAAACAAAAGTGATAGGATCATATTTTGATTTACCAGAACTCAGATAATTAGAATCCTGTTATCCAAATTTGCTTGACTTGGTTTTAAAGAGACAATGGCTCATTGAGAATTACAGCAGTGCCTAAATAACCCTACTAGAATTTTTGTGCATAAATATGAATTATTCATTACTTACTGAGGTAACTGATGAAAGTTTTTAAATAAGTTTTGGAAAAGAGAAATAGAATATTAACTTGCTTTCACATTACTTACATTGATATTTTCTTAGTGTTCATCAAGACCTCTACTAAATACTGTGATAGCGTCTGTCTGTCTCTTTCTCTCTCTCTTTTTTTTTTTTTTCTTTTTGGTAACGAGGATTGAACCTGGGGCTACTGAACCATTGAGCCACATCCCCAGCCCTAGTTTGTTATTTAGAGACAGGGTCTCACTTAGTTGCTTAGTGTGTCGCGATTGCTGAGGCTGGCTTTGAATTCATGATCCTCCTGTCTCAGCCTCCCGAGCTGCTGGGATTGCAGGTGTGTGCCACCACGCCCAGCTCTAGATCTCTTCTTCAGTGTCTATTCTGCTCATATAATTGAAATAGAATTTACTTGAGGAAGAAACATTCTAGATTTGCTACCTGAATGATGACCATTAAATTCTTTAGATGGTTTTCAGAAAGATTTTTCGAAATTTATTAAACTGTAGTAAGGGCTGGGGGTATAGTTCAGTTGGTAATAGTTTTTGCCTAGCATGCACAGGGCCTTGGGTTCAATCCCTAGCACCATAAAAAAAAAAAAAAAAAAAGTAATGTGCTTTTCATATTCCTGACTGAAAAAAAAGTAACACGTTTTGAAAATAGTGCTGAATATATGAGATTTTTTTAATCAAATGGGGGAGAACAGGTTATTTTAACAAATTAGTACTAGAATGTTTTATTTGTCCACGTGTTTAAAGTTAGAAAAAAGAAAGTTTTTAAAAATATTTACTTTTTAGTTTTAGGTGGATACAATATCTTTCTTTTATTTTAATATGGCACTGAGGATCGAACCCAGTGCCTCACATGTGCTAGGCTAGCACTCTACCACTTGAGCCACAACCCCAGCCCTAAAGTTAGAAAAATTTAAGGAGAAAACCTACACAGCTTCTGAAGAAAAAATGTTTTCCCTAATCTCTAAATACTTTATTGTTTAGGGCATTATTTTATATAACTACAGGACAGTTATTAAACTTTTGAGAATTTAAACATTTAGACAATACTATTATATAAATCTACAGATCCTATTATCACTATAATTAGTAATGTTTTCTTTTTCTTTCTTTCATTTTCTTTTCCCCTCTCCTCCTCCTCTTTTGATATAGAACTCAAACCAGAATCTAATTGAATTTTGTGTATTGTCTCTCGTCTTTAATCTGGAGCAGTTTTTCAGCATTGTTTGTCTTTTGTGACCTTAACTCTTTTGAAGAGTTCAGACTAGTTATTTTGTAGACTGCCCCTCATTTTGATTTGTTTGATGTTTCCTGATTAGATTCAGTCTATGAATTTTCTGCAGGAGTTTCACAGAATTGATGTGTTCTCTGTGTATCTCTCAGAAAGCAAATAATGTCTGATTTTCTTATTACTATTGATACCTTTCATTACTTTGTAAAGGTGTGGTTGCAGTACACCTCAATATAAAATTAGTATTTATTCCTTTGTAGTTAACACATTGAAAGATGCTTACAAACCATGTAAATATCCTGTTGTAGTTTTATAATTTTGCCTACAAATTTGGCATCCATTGATTTTGGCCTACCAGAATTACTAAGGTGGTTGGTTACTCAAAGTGATTTTCTTATTCATACATTCCTTCTACAATTGTTAATTGGCATTCTGTTGTAATGAAGAGCCTTCTATTTCCCCTATTTGCTCATTTATTTTATTAGGTAAGTATTGACTCACAGATTCTTATTTTATTCTATAGGTTACTTTTACTATCACTGATTTATTGCATGAATTGTAGAATGCTCTTTTTTGTTGTTGTTTTAAAATTTAGTAAGAAAAATCACCCCCCAAAAGTTTGAGTAATAACTTTTGTAATACTTTAGTGTAACCTCAGACATCTGATGGGCAGAAATTATTTTTTTCTTAGTGCTCATATAGTTTACTAATATTTATGATATTACTTTGAATATATCTTTTATTTCCAAAATACTTTATTATCACTTGTGGTCTATGCTATTCCACAAAAAGTGCTATCTAAAATGATACCCCCATTGTAAGGCATACCCCCATTGTAAGGCATACCCCCATTGTAAGTTGAGAAGTATCTGTAATATTGTTTATTTGAAATTATTATAAAAATGGAATCCTATACTATGACTACATAACCTTTTGAGATTGGTTTATTTCACTCAGCACAATGCTTGTAAGATTCATTCCAGTTGTTGCAAGTATTAATAGTTCCCTGTTATTATTAAGTAGTATTCTGTTGTGTAGATGTACCAGTAAATTGGTACATTTACCCATTTTATGGATATTTGGATTATAAGATGTTTCTAGTTTTGAGCAATTATGAATAAATTTTTGCATGAATGTGAGCTTTTAATTCTGTAGGGAAGATACTTTGTCGCCAGCTTCCGGGCTGGCAACTAAAAACCACACAAACAGAGAAATACCTTTTTGGGGGTTCAGGGACAGCTCTGAGACCTCAGGTTTCAGCTCCCATGCTAGAAGGAAAGGGGCGTAAGGGAGACAAGAGGCAAGAGAGAGAGAGAACACACCTGAAACCCCCCTATTGGAGAGAAGCTATTCATAGAATTTCCCACCCAAATAAGGCAAGGGATTGGGTTTTGGAGGGTGGAGTCTTGCTTGGTGATGTCTTATGGTCAGCAGGTTGATTAACATTTGGAAAGCCACATCCATCTCAGGTGCTGTGTGGGATAACAGGCAGAGCAAGAGGAAAGGCACACATGTGTCGCACAGCCCCCAAAGCATGTAATGCCAGACCAGTCCCCTCATATGCTCAAATGCGCCCAGCTCACACACACAGCCCATGACTTGCAACAATACTTGGAGTGGGATTGATCATTGTATCTTATGGTATGTGCTTACCTTTGTAAGAAATATCATATATATTTTATATAAAATATATTTTAAGTTGCAAGATTACCCTTAATTTCCTGGGATAAACCCCATTTGATTATGTAGTAATCATCATGTAGTATCATGTAGTAATTATCCATGATGGATTACCATTTTATATAACATTTATATTATTATACATATATATGTATAAAATAACTATTTTATAGAAAATACAAAATTTTTTCAGATTTTCAGATTAAGAATGCTGTACCTATACTTTTTTTTCAATTTGCAGCTTGTTTTTTCATTCTTTTAATAGTGCAAGTCCTTGACAGAGCAAAAGTTTTTAATTTTAGTGAATTCTTGCTTATCAGTTTTTTTAATAAACCACAATTTTGGCATTATGTCTAAAATTTTTTTACTAAGATTATTAGATCACTAAGGTTTTTTCAGGTTGTATTTTTTTTCATTTATTTTAATTCTGTTTTACATTTAAAACTATGATCCACTTAAAGTTAATTTTTGTATAAAATGTGAAGTTTAGGTTGAGGTTTTTTCTTCTGCTCACGAATATCTAATTATCCCAATATCATTTGTTGAAAATATGTCCTTCCTCCAGTAAATTGCTTTTCCACCTTTATCAGCAATCATTTCACTGCATATAGATGTACATATTTTTGGACTTTGAATTCTTTTCTGTTAATTGTCTCTCCTTTCATTAAACCCAAACTATCTTGATGCTTGTATTGTGGTTCTCAGTTTTGTTCTTTTTCAAAATTGTTTTGGCTATTCTAGTTGCCTTGATTTTACTCCTTCACAGTCTTTATATAATAAGCTCCTTCACTAAACGGTAATGTTGGCATGTCCTTTAACATCTCAGAAGCATTTTCGTTAAGTTTTAAACTCTTTGTCAAAATTGGCTTTATTCTTTTAAAATAGGCCTGTCAGTACACCTGTTGAAATTTTTTCTTATTTATCTTTGAACTAGAATTTCCTGAGAACTAGTCAGGTCTCATATTAAACTTTTTGTTAAACCTTCTTCCCTGATTTCTCTCCATATTTTCATGAATTTGTGATTTTATAGATCCATAGGTATGTTAGATTTCTTTAGCATACATAATGCGCATTTCTTCACACATAAAGATTTTCTTGTTTTTTTTTTCACTTTAGTTTAAAAAGAAATAAAATCAACTGTAAGAAAATGTTTATCTGTTGGCATCTTTTAATCCTTAACTTCACTGAATTATTTTATCTACATTCAGCCTATGTTGTGGTTGTATATTAGATAATTAAAACAGTAATAGGAAATTACTTTTAAAGTGTTTGGGTGGAGAAGTATCACTGTGAAAATCTTCTTATCATTTTCAGTAAAACTTTAAAGTTGTATAATTTTGTATGATTTTGGGTCATTTCAGCAGAGATGTGTGCTATGGTATATTTATATCTTCACTTTTATTTTAGGTACGTATAGCAGCAAAATTCATCATTCATGCCCCTCCTGGAGAATTTAATGAAGTTTTTAATGGTGAGTGTTTAACTTGTAACATTAAGTCTTGATATATAAAAAAAGCGCTGTTTTTCTATCTTTTTAAGCATAATCACCAAAATAAGCTAAAGATAGTGTAGAAAAGTCTGTTTTCTGATTTACAATGAAGTTTTGTTAATCTGAATTTTTTAATGGCTAGATATAATGTACATATGATATATGTGATAATTTTGTTTGAACATATTAACCCTTTTTAAAGGATAAAATAAACTTTATACTAGTTACTGAGTAGAATATAACCTTATTCTGGGAAAGGAACATCTTTTTTGGTAAATTGTTTTTAAGCAAAACTATAAACACACACAATTAATGTTCGTTGAATAGATCATTTAAGGAAGAAAGACAATAGAATTTTTCATTTTAACTTTTTTTTTTAAATTATGGAGTACAGTTTTGTATTTCTTTTTGAGAAAAACCTATTAGAGCAATACAAACAGCCAGTAAAAAGGGGGTGGGGAGCCATTTTCATCATGCATAGAAGATGGTAGCACATGTCAAAAGTTTTGTTATTTTAATTGTATATTATAAATCATTTCACAGTATCCCTTTCTTTAGACTTCATTAGCAAACATTTTCATAATTATTTACCTATGGATCACAAGTTTAAAAGTCTAGATAATCTTCTGGTTGCTATACAGACTTTGATAGCAGCTGCTCTTTAGCAGTAAGAATGACAAGATTGTAAGAATCACCAGAATAATGGCCTACAGAGAGCTCCTTGCAAAACTTTTTCTTTTTTTTTTTTTTGCGGTGCTAGGCTTTGTGTGGGCTTGGCAAATGCTGAACCACTGAGGCACATCCCCAGCCCACAAAACTTTACTTACGCAGTTAAAAGAGAAAGTTGCAGCAAGTATTATAAATATGCTATTATTCCTACTTTATATAAATGCTTTCTACATACACTTTATATATATTTTGGCCTTTTCACCATGTCTTAAAGGTGAATTTACACATGGCTTTTGAGCTACATTTTTAAACAGTCTGCTCCTGAGTTAAAGTTATAGGCCACATTTGAACCTAAGCAGAGGAGAGACTTCAGTAGATAATGGTGAAACTGTACTGAAGTCAGTAGCTCACAAACTCCCCTATAGTTCAGAGTCAAGAATAAATTATAATTTTAAGAAAGATTTGTCAAATACTGTTCTTATCTTGAATTAAAGACCCTACATATTTTTTAATCAGGAAGGTCCTAAAAGAACTTATGAGTTCTGAGAATTACTTTTCTAAGCCTCATTTGAAATTGACATTGAATTGATATGTCTGTGTTGAGTTCCCATAAATTTAGGCATTTAGGATGAGGCATTAAATAGGTCTAGAGTGGAGAGTGAGCTGTGAAGTAGAAGTAAGATATAGAATTATCTAATAAATTTTAACTTAGGGGATATTTTAAAGTTAAAAAGAAATTAACTTTAAAGGAGAAGTCTTGCATCAATTTGTTTATTTTCATTGAAAATGTGGAATCAGAATGATTCCAAGAGAAGCAAACAATTTTAGAATTATGAAGTAATAAATATCAGTTCAGTTCCAAAATGCTTTTTCCTTAGGCTTGTTACGTTAGAATAATAGAAAGATAGATTTCTGGTCTTCTTTCATTCTTAAAAACTGATTGGTAGGTCTGGGCTTGGGCTCCAAAATCTTTATTTTATTATTTATTTTGACTATTTTTTTAAAGCCTCTACCCACTACCCTGTGGTTCTAATGGGTAGCCTGGCTTAGAATTATAGCCTAATTCCTTCCTTAAGAGTAAAATTTTATTTTATTTTAATTCTTGTTAGGTTTTCCTTTCTTCTATACTCTCCTCATTAAAAACATGCTCTTTTTTTTTTTTTTTTCAAAGTACAACTAACTGGATTGAATAGATTTCTACTTTTAAATTATTTTCCCACTAAAACTAGAAAAGACATAACTATCATGAGATATCACTGTTGTAAAGTATTATATTTAAAATATTGAACATAAAATCATATTTAATAGAACTTCTCAGTTTGCTTTTTGGGATAAAAAATATACATAATGTCTGTATTTTAAATTTTTTATGCAGCATCTTAATGGCTGCCCAGTTTTACAATGTGTATAACTATAGCCTGTTCATCTTTTATTTAACCAGTTTCTTAATGTGAAATATGTTATTTCTTTGTATTTTCATTTAATGAAAAAATTAAGATACCTTGTTTTATGTACTTTAAAATAACAACTATGTAAGAGCCAAGTACTTGAGAAAAATAATGAAAGAAAATATACCAAGGCTAGACTAGAAGGCTTTTTGTTTTTGGTGAAACCGTATGATTTTTCTTTAATGTTTTATGAAGTGCTTGGATTTTCCTAATAAAAATATTATTTTTGAATTTATATTTTAATGATTAAAAGCCAAATGTCTATGTAATAATAGTTGAGTCTAAAATTAGGACTGACTTAAGAACCAGTTAAAGGGAAATCTAATGATTTGACTTACTAGTCAAAGAAAATATAATTATTCATTTGTTCCTTGAACATTAGCTATAAAAGAACAGAAATATCTGCATCTGGACTCTGGTCACAAACTGTTACTTAATCACTTTTTTTTTTTAATAGAGAAAATTTATTTGAAACTGATTGTTGTGTTGTCAAGTTAAGAGGCATAGTCCTGTCTTTTCTGCAGATCTTATCACACCACTTTTCTGATGTAGCTTATCTCTACTTTAGTTCTTTGATAATACGTTCCAAACTTCCTGTATCAACTATTAAAAGAGTACAAAATTGTATGTATTTCTATTTAATTCCTTCTTCTATTTCCTAAGAAAACTGTTTTATTTTGTTAAAATACTACGGTGTGTATTTTGTGAATATTTTTGGTCATTACAGTGATATTTGATCTTGCTTTCTATTGGTGGGGGTGTTAGCACATAACTAAAACTATCTGCATTCCTTATAGTTTTCAAACAAAACATAATAATATAAAAAACATAATGTTTGTTTTATAGATGTTCGATTACTGCTTAATAATGATAATCTTCTCAGGGAAGGAGCAGCCCAGTAAGTATTTCATATTATAGTAACATAACTAAAGTGACTTGGAGAAAGAAAAGATGTTTTAAAAGTGATTTTTAAGCACTAATCCCTGACATAGGTGTTTGTACATCAAGTTCAAACATGTGCAATATGTATGTACTAGACTCTAGGAGAAATATTTTTGATCACAAAGGGACTTAGAGACTCAACTATAATATAAAATTCTGTATTTATGGTATGTTTGGCCAGTGGTCTTATATAAATCATTTGCTACTAAATTTGACATTTGCAAAATTTGGTAAATTATTTTTGAAATGGTAATTGCCTTAATTTTTATGTATATTTAATTTTATTATATGTTTGACCCTAGTAGATTTCTATATCTATGAGGTTTGGGAGTTTATTTTATTCATCTATAAATACTGAAAATAGTCTCTAACACATAAATGTTTACTGAATTTTTGCATGATTCAAAGAAGTGGGCAATTCTAATCCTAATGGCGTTATCTTTGGACTTCATCTCTTTTAATCTTTTTTTCCTTTTCCCTCTCTTTATCTTTTTGTGAGGGAAGGAAACAAGGCTGTTATTCTTTAGAGTGATTCTAACAGGACATCTTTACTAAAGGGCACAAACTCTCTGTGATTCAAAGTAAAATTAGACTTACTACTGTCAAATCTAGAATACTTTGAAACACCCTGAAATAGCCTTTTATTCAAAGACAAAAGAATGCCAGACTTCACTGTGATGATAAGATAAATAAGCCTTTCATAGATTTTTCCAGAGTCAGATATGTCTAATAACAGTCCAAGTTAAATAAAATATAATAATAGAGGCATATCAAAGGCTTATAGAGATAAAGAAATTTTTAAAGTTTTATTTAAAAATGTTTTAAAATAAGATTTTAATATTAAATAAGGAAAATGGTGTAGCTAAGCTGAGGGAAAGTATCAGATGTGGTCTGATGAATAATAGCAAAGGATGTAAACTATAGGAAGAGCTGGGAGACCTTTGTTGTCACTATGTCTAGTAGAATGCTTAGCACATAGTAATAAGAGCTCAGTAAATATTTGCATGGTTGTAGGGGCTACTGAGTGAATGATGAATGGGTACATGGAGTTTTCTCAACAGAGAGACTTTGGAAGTCATCTAGTCTAAGATAATGATAATTGCTGTTATAGATGATGGGGCCCATTTTAGCTAATGGTAGGATTGGAACAAAACCCAGAAATTCTATTAGATTAGTGAGTACATTTTGCATTGTAGCATAATTGTCATAATTTAATTTGCTTTATGCGTGTAAGATATAATTCTACTTATTTCATATTCATTATTTCTAATACTAGTTTCCCTTTTCTTCCTTTACCCACTCCCCCCAAGTTAGAGGTGGATGGAATTTGATGTTATGGGCAGTAATTAGTAATTGCTTGGCTACGTTGAGGCAATTCTTAGGAAAATTACAGATTTACAGAATTAAGAAAATAAGAGGTGAACAACTTCCTTCTCCCTCCTTCTCCATGCACTTATATATTTACCCCCATCTTTTTTCGACATGAAATATCAGGTATTTGATAGTTACTAATTTAATTCTGGGTTGCTATTTTTATATTTACTAGTCTCTTTGTTAACTTATCAGTAGTGCTTTGCTCAGTTAAACAGTTCTTTCTAGGGGAGGCTTAAGAGCTAATACAGTGAATAATTGGCTAAAAAACTTTTGAGAGGCATTCATAAATTTTAAAATTCTCAATATCTTAGATTTAATGGAATAAATATGATCTTTTTTGGCGGGGGTAGGGAGATTCTGGGGATTGAACCCAGAGACTTGTGCATGCTAGGCAAGCATTCTACCAACTGAGCTATATCCCCAAGCCCTCAAAATAAGTATGATCTTTATATCATTTTTTGGATAATTTTTCATACTATTAAGTTTTTCCTATGTATGACAAAATTATCTGATAATGTATTATTCTTTCTTTGTATGAGAGTAGAGATAGAGACTTTAATGTTGAATTCAGATGGTCACCATTTCCTTGCTCATCCTCTGCACTTCTAACATGGACGTCTGGGAAAACCTAACTGCTCTTTCCAGCTGTAGTTGCTCTACTGCCTAATTCATCATACACACTACTGCCAGATTAATCTTCAGAAGTACTTCTGTGTTTTTCTTTCTCAAAAAATTTCTGTGATGCTGCTTTGCCTCCCAAATAATCATTCCATCATCCATTCAAGGCACTTCAGTTTAGTAAATGTCACTGAAGGCCTGCTCTGTGCCTAGTGCTCTGAGGTTGGTGTTTTCTGTGGTGTTAAAAATCCTATGATGTTGAACCTGATTGGCTTCTAGGCATTTTGCTCATACTGGTCCCACTAATTGAAATACTCTTTTCTTACCCATCCCTCCAACATCTACAAAATGGGACAGACCCAATTATTTCAAGCCCATTTGTCAGTATCACATTCACTGTGACATTGTCCCAGTTGTCTTCTTACTCTTGTGTTAACAGAATGTTAAAATTACACACACCATTTTACAGAGCATTATTGGTAATTCTCTTATGGTACTTTCTACTTTGTGTTACCGGTATGTTCATCCGTTATCTCTCTTATTTAATTGAAAACCCTTTGGTGCTGATTTTCACAATCTGTAGTTCGTTTCCTGGTTTTTTAAATATATACAGTACTTGAATAAGTAGCTATGTATTTTATAGATAGCTAATCTTTACTTTCAGGATTTTTAATGAAAAGGCCAGTTATACTTTCTGATGTAATTTTTAAAAATATATTTTTAGTTGTAGATGGACATAATATATTTATTTATTCATTTATTTTTATGTGGTGCTGAGGATCTAACCCAGTGCCTCACATGTGCGAGACAAGCACTCTACCACTGAGCTACAACCCCAGCCCCCTGATATAATTTTATGTTGCTAACATTGGAAGCTGGATAGCAGTTTTTAAAATAGCTGTATCTATGATATATTTCTAGTTAGTTAATATTTATAATAGAGAATTATAATTGTATTAATCTTGCCATGTAGCAGAATTTTATTGAGAGGTGAATTGTTTAACTATCATTTTAAGAAGCATTAGATACGTAATTTTAAATAATTGGCCCTTTTTCTTTTTTAGTGCATTTGCACAGTATAACTTGGACCAGTTTACTCCAGTAAAAATTGAAGGTTATGAAGATCAGGTATGTTTAATATAAACATAGAATCTGGCTAATCCTTGTTTGGTTTAAACAACTCCAGTGACATGTGAGAATTATAAAGTGGTGTATGCTTAAAGATAAAATAAAATATTCATTTTAATCATAGGCACTTATTGACAAAATAATTTAAAATTAACTTCTGTTTTTTTTTTTTTGAGACTAATATTAGCAGACAGTTCCTTTTAGAAATACTTAGTTGTAATGCATTTAAGATTTTAGAAAATAATTGTTTTAAATCTACTTTCTTGTTTTTTATGGAAAAAATATCAATCCTTTATTAATCCAAAATCTAGAATATGTATTAATAAGATTTATGTCATAATTTGGTTGCTCTAGAAATCTACAGTTCTTCATGTGAGTAATTTAGCATTTAGTAATTATTAAATGTTTTTATTTGAAAATGCAAGTTAGAATTAAGTTAAGAAAAGCCACAAAAGGTCACTAGTTTTTTTTTAGAATTACTAATAATTTAGTGATGATTATAGTGTTGAATCATGTCATGCCTATTCGAAATACAATTTATATAAAACCATATGAGGAAGGAAATGATAGAATATAAGATAAGTAGTTAAGAAGGAAGATAAAAGAAAGCCCTTAAGTGGCTAATTATGTGAGAGTTTGTGTTTGATATTATTCATTATATAATACATAGTCTCATAGTTTCAGGGGGAAAGTGAGATGGAGAATGCCTGTAACTGAAGAGAAACTTAAGCTTGTGTAAAAATGTACATGTGTGATTACACAAATGTATAACTCCATATTTACTTTATTATATCAATTGCCTGAATTCTCTGGAGGTTTTGGTTTTTTATCCTCTTTTTTTTTAACTATTGTAAATATTGTTGCCTTGAATCTTTGAACCACTGGTCACATTGACATATGTTTTTTTTTATTGAGATAAATCCCTAAAAGGAAATTTGCAGAATAGAGAGTACATTCTTTTTAAATGCTGGAAAACTTCCAAAATCTTTTTATAAATATAGCATAATTTTAATACTAAAAAAATATAAAAAGTTTAATTGTATACTAATTTTACATGTGACGAGATTTTAAAACTTTGAATATGTAGGATCTAGAAATATATCAAAAAGAATAACATAGCAAAACTAAATACTTTTTTTAGGAATGTGAGAATGGTTCCATGGAAGGCAGTATTTTGGTCTTATGTATTAACAGAGAAAAATCTGGTATCAGTAGATAATGAAAAAGATTTGAAAAACTCAGAAACCATTTCTTTTTTTTTTTTTTTTTTAAGAGAGAGAATTTTTTAATATAATTTTTTTTCAGTTTTCAGTGGACACAACATCTTTACTTTATTTTTATGTGGTGCTGAGGATCGAACCCAGCACCCCGCACATGCCAAGCGAGCACGTTACTGCTTGAGCCACATCCCCAGCCCAAGAAACCATTTCTTATTAAAAGTAATCCCAGCAACTCAGGAGGCTGAGGCAGAAGGATCATGAGTTCAAAGCCAGCCTCAGCAAAAGTGAGGTATTAGGCAACTCAGTGAGACCCTGTTTCTAAATAAAATACAGAATAGGGCTGGGGGTGTGGCTGTATTGTTAATTGCCCCAAGTTAAATCTCTGGTATCTTCGCCAAAACAAAACAAAAAAACCCTAAGTAAAAGTAGAAATAGAATAAAACCTGTTAAAATATAGTTGTTTAACAGAAACCAATAGTAAATATTATAAACTATAAACATTAAAACAATTTAAAATTAAAAATTAACTAATTATACCTACTTATTACAGTTATCATTTATCATAAATTAAGGTATACCAAATAAAACAAGAGAATCAGAACTTATAAAGCTTAGAAAAGAAATCTCTATGGTGATATGTTTAAGGGTACCCAGAGTCTGTAGTAGTATAACCCTCAACCAAAAAAACCTTGATGAGATGATTGGATTTAAGGTAAGTACTACATACAAAGTACATTAGCTGTCCTCTGTTGCAGTAGGTAAGTACCTAAACCTACACAGTGGAGATGGGATTGGACAGTTAATTTCACTTAAAATAATGTTATGAATTTTACATTAAGAAATAAACTTAACAAGAAACATACAGTAGTGTGAAGAAAATAGTAGTTGTTTTCATGAAAACATAAAACTAATATCTGGACAGTAGAAAGGCACATTGGCATTTCATTCTTAGAAACTTTTAAAAATTAATAATAAATTAATATGGTACAATTTGCATTAGACTACTGATCAGTTTTTTTTTAATTAGTATTTTCCAAAATTTTATATGAAAAAAATACATGCTTGAAATAATCAAGAAAAATGTACAAGAGAACAGTAAGGACAATGAAGGAGAATTGGAGAATTGCCTTACTAGGTAGCAGAAGATATTTTAAAACCAGTGTAAAGTCAAGTCACTGTGTTTTTATACATAGTGGATGAATAAGCCAATAAAGTGGCATGGAGAACCAGAATTTAATACATGAATATATGAAAGTTTTATACAGATATCAGCACAACTGATTTCTGCCAGAAACAAAGTTAAGTTGAACCTCTGTCTTACACAATATACAAAGTTAAATTTCAAATGGATTAAAAAATTGTATAATGATGAAAATTTTAGGAGATCTGAAAGTCAGCATGTGCAATATAAGGGAAGAAGACCATGTTAAATAAGACTATAAACTCAAAAACTCAAAGATGGGTATTTTGCAACATATAAATTTTTTTAAATTGTATACTGAAACAGATACATTAAGCAATGTTTTTTTTCTTTTTTTATTGATTTTTTAAAATAAATGACAGCAGGATGCATTAAAATTCTTATTACACATATAGAGCATACTCTAAATGGAGCCAGAGATATGAAAAATTGTGTTCTACATTAAGCAGTTCTTACAAACTGATATAGAGAAAAGAAAACCAGATAAGTATTAAAGAATATTTATTTACCGAAGAGCACATGGCCCACAAAGATAAAACAGTGTTTAGATCTACAGCCGTCATTCAGAAAATGAAATTAAAATTATACTTATTAGACAACTAAAAGAGCTATAATGCCTATTGATGGTGATAATGTCTATTAAAAATGTATAAACCCCTTAACTGCTCTTCTCACCACCGTTGCTGGTAATCTATCCAATAGAAGAATATTCTTAGCGCATAGTAAGATAACTGTGGTTGACAATAGTTAAATATATATTAAAATAGCTAAGAGGATGGGTTTTGAATGTTCTCAACACATAGCAATGATAAATGCTTGAAGTAATAGATATGCCAGTTATCCTGATGTAATCATTGCACACGGTTGAAAATATCACTCTGTACCCAGTAAATATATACATTTAGTATGTGTTGGTCACAGTTTTAAATTAAAAAATACATCCAATGGAAATAAAAACATTAGCACATAAAAATATGCACAACAATATTTGTTTCACAATTTTTTAATGTGGCCTTTCTCTCCTTTAAGAAAATAGAATATCTTGGACTAGGGTCGTGGCTCAGTTGGTAGAGCACTTGCCTAGCATGTGTGAAGCACTGGGTTCAGCACCACATATGAGTAAATAAATAAAGGTCAATCAGCAACTAAAAATGTAAAAAAAGAAGAAAATAGAATATCTAGAAATAAAATGATGATAATCAGTGGGAAATTGGCTGAATAAATTGTTAAGTCCTCATCATTGGGATATTATACAATCATTAAAAAGAATGGTAAGGGGCTGGGTATACAGCTCATTTGGCATTGTGCTTGCCTCACATGCATAAGGCCCTGGGTTCGATCCCCAGCACCACAAAAAGAAAAAAAGAATGGTGAGAAGTGTTATCACAGACTTGGAAGATTTCTATAAGATGTTTATGTTTTTTTAAAAAAAGCCAAATGCAGAGCAGTGTGTTTGTGTGTGTACATTTTTATTTCATTCTTATAAAATAATGACCAAAAAATCATGTATGTATGCTTTTGTAAATATATGTATATATTTATGTATGTAGGATTTCATGATCATGAAAAATTTTAGAACGATGCATTCTGTGCTGTTAGCATGATTTGCATCAGGAATGAAGAAGTCCTGACATAGGTAAAATGTGAAAGAATGGGAAAGTTGTAAGTGAAGGAAAATTTTCAAAAATTAAAACACAGAATATTAAATTTGTGCATGTATAATCTAAATGTACATAAATAGGTAAGTTATGTTTTTAAAAATTTGAAAGTTAATTAAAAATAACCACAGTGATTAGTTTATAAGAAGCAGAAGCATATACATGAGAGCAGGTGAGACTGTGGGCCCCACAACAGGATAGGACAATGTACTGAAGAGCTTCTTCACTGGACTACAACCCTTCTTGTAACCTCTCTGATTGAAGGTGATCACTGGTTCCTTAGTTTTGAGGAAATGGAGTCTGATATCAGAAATAATAAACTAGTTCTCAAAGGAAAAGCTTGATTCCAGCAGTGTACTAGAGGATGCATATTTTTGCTAGATGTTATGTTGGAAGAAAAATCTGATCTACTCTGAATGACATTGTTTTTACAGTTTACTAATTTGAAGTATTAACAGTTGTACCATGTGTGAAACCAGTCACTTTGAGTAAAATTGTTTTATAGTTTTTTAAGGGAAAATTTTAAGCAAATGTATACTAGTGTGTATCAGTACTTAAATATTATTTTAAATACTTTTTTCCTAAATTTATTTCCTTATTGAAGGTATTGATAACAGAACATGGTGACTTGGGAAATGGAAAGTTTTTGGATCCAAAAAACAGAATCTGTTTCAAATTTGATCACCTAAGAAAGGAAGCAACTGATCCAAGACCTTACGAAGCAGAAAATGCAATTGAATCATGGAGAACTTCAGTAGAAACTGCTCTGCGAGCTTATGTAAAAGAACATTACCCAAATGGGGTCTGCACTGTAAGTCATCGTGGGCAGCTTTTTAAATTTTATCTTACGCAAATGTGATGAAGTAGCAATTCCTAGGAATTTTACTATTTTTTCCAAAAAACTACTGTATTATTATATCGAAAAATAGAAAATGCATTGTACCTCGAATCAAATCCCTATAGAAATTCTAACACATTGATTAAACATGAGATTCTTTAATCTCATGTTCATGACTCACTTACATTAAGTCAAATTTATTTTCACTAATTTACAGAATTTTTGAATAAATAAAATTAATTGAAAGTGGAATCATGGGGCTGGGATTGTGGTTTAGTGGCAGAGTGCTTGCCTAGCACATGTGAGGCACTGGGTTAAATCCTCAGCACCACAAAAAAATAAATAAAGGTATTATGTACATATACAACTAAAAAAATTTAAAAGAAAGAAAGAAAATGGAATCGTGTCCTCAAGTATATTACAGTCAAATTTCTTACTTTTTGATGTGCTTCTTTCATAGGTTTAGCCTGTTTATGTTTTTAGGATGAAATGTGTAGAAATTAGTGCTTTTTTGTTTGCTTGTGAACTTTCATAAGACTGTACCAAGACAGGCTATTATTAAGCACCCAGTTTGTGCTTCAGTGATCTTCTCTATAGCTATAGTGATTTTTTTTTTAAATGCAAATCAGATTATGAAACCCCCCTGCTTGAAATCCTTTATAGAGATTTCCCATTTTATTTAAGATAGAGTCTAGGCATCTAAACATGACTTACAGAGCTGAGTAGGCTTAGCCTCAGTTTGCCTCTTCAACCTAAAGGGACCATATGCTGTGTTTCATACCTGCTTTCCCAATATAATTTTTAATATTACCAGTAGCACCCCATTTCTCTCATAGAAGTTTCCTGGTTAGTACTGAATTCATATAATCTGCCTAAGTATTTACTGTCAATGATTATTTAAGAAAAACAACATAACTAAAATAATATTTAAAATTCTTTGAATCATAACTTGATTAGAATTATTTTGGAAGAATATCTCAGCAAGAGTAAGAGAGTGGCTGAGTTTGAGAGCCATCATTTTTACTGGGGGAATTGAAACACACACATTATTACTTTGAAAGTAGCATAGGTGAAATAATAGCATTATACATCCCAGACATTCTCTTAATGATCTTTCTTGTCTGTAAGTACCCTTAACTTACCCTTATCTCGGTACTTTTAAAAATGACTCAAGAAGTGGTACCCTCTAAGATTGTGAAGTAAACAAAAATGATAATCACAAATTAGGTCCAGTTTTTACTTGTGGAAATAGCTATATTGGTATCTATATGTTGAAATGTATTATCTAGTTTCTTATGATCCCTGTGTTTGGAATGAAAACATGATAGATCTAATGGACACTTATGAATATAGTACATTTAGTTTTGCCCCATAAATTTGAGCTCATTTGTGATCCACTGATAATTTGATTTGGTGTGCATTTTTGAGAACTTGTTTTTCTAGTTACTATGTTAGAATGAGGACTTACTTTATATCCTTTTGTGTGTTTTTGCCAGAGTGCTTTACAATTTTAAATATTTTATGCATGTTTAAAGTTGAGCATTTTGTGGTCCTAAATTCTCTCTTGTTCTTATTTTCTTTCCTCATAAGGTGTATGGTAAAAAAATAGATGGACAGCAAACCATTATTGCATGCATAGAAAGCCATCAGTTCCAAGCAAAAAACTTTTGGTAAGTTAAAATTTTGTGTAATTGGAGAAATTTTGGTATTGATTATATTGTTGGGAGTTCTTGGTTTAATGATCTGGGCTGTACCTTTTTGTATATGATTGACTAAAAACAGTATATACATGGTATAAAACTTCAGCCTATACTGGCTCCACAAAGGACCTAATCATTAAAGGTAGCAGTAAATCTGTTGACATTCAGTGAAAAGAATGTGGGAGAGCATAGTGTTTTTGGAGAGTAGCAGGCAGCACCCTAAGGGAGCATGTGTGCGTATAAGCAGCCCAATTGGCAGGCCCATATGCTCATTCTGTGAAGTGGGTGTTCCTGAATGAAACTTATGTGGGGAGGAGACAAGCAGTTATAAAGTGAAGAACCATTCTGTTGTGAATCTGGGGCCTCTGAAGCAGATGTTTTTATTGGGATTGCTTTGTGTTCGGTTGGCCAGTGTGGGGAAGTAAAATTACAAAAATATGCCTTGTAATTTTGCATACAAATAATTCAGTTATTCCTTATAGAATCTAGCCCCTAACAGTACTACTTGTCCTGTTAAGCTCAGATATTTGAAAAGTTGGTGACCTTTTTTATTATTAGACTTATTTCTGATATACTCCCTATTCCAGGATTGAGTTTTTCCTCCAAGACTTTACAAGTTCAGAATTGAATGAAGTCTTTACTTTTTTCCCTTTTTTTATTAATACATGCTGAAATTATAAGAGTAAATAGTCATAATGTTTACCTTTTAAGTATATTATTCTGTAACTTATTAGCCAAGTTCATTGGTGGTGCTGTTGAGGGTAAGTGTCAGTAACCTCAATGGACTAGTTTGGACCTTGGCCCGAAGGTGCCCCCGTACTTAACTATGTCAGACATAAATGCAAGGTTACAAGATTAATCAAGAATATTTGGAGAAATGCAGATCCAGCATCACAGAAGGAAAATTATTTCCATATCATTTCTGTATGTAAACATATGCCTTAATGACAACATGCACTTTCCTAAAGATACTGGCATACAAAATTACTTTCATGGACTTGATATAAATGTAGTTTCTCTATTTTAGCTCTGTAAACATGTAGTATTAATCTAGCAGAATCCTAAAGCATAAGGCTTTGCAAAATCATTATTAATACATTGTGTCAGGAAATACATAATAAAATCAATCTTATTGAGATTGAAGTACTGTTAAAGGAAAATTCTTGTTATTGTCTTACTTTAATAAAATCTGTTGAAGATGTTATAATAAATTATTAATTAGAGGGGAAACGAAGTCTTGAGTTTTTGCATATACAAAGTGAAGAAAATGTCTCTTGGCATTTTATTTGCACTATTTTACCCCCACTCCAAGCCCCCCATATTGTTGATGTTACCTGAATCACCACTATGAGCATTGTATCATTGAAGTTAAAAGTGATTTTCACTTTTTGGAGAAGTAAATTATGGTTTTCCAAAGTACTAAATGTCATGGCACATTAATCTCATGGAATCTAGGTATTTAGATACAAAGAAACTTCATTTTACCTAAAATGTAGGTAAAATAAAAATTAGAAGAAACTAGTCTTGGGTGTTTCTTGGATTTCACTAGAGACCTTCTCTCCTTATTCTCTACTATTTCCTAAGTGTTTAGTGGTATTAGGGCTTAATAAATGTTTATTGAAAGAATGCATATTTGTAAGAGAGGTGCAAAATATTAAAGACTTGGCCACTTACTCCATTGCTGAAGGGGCACTCTCAGTGTCTCTGGAAGAGTTTTGAACTGGTTCTCAAATTGTTACCATTATTACTTGGACTGGAATTCCTTTTTTTTTCCCCTTTCTTTTCATAATCAATAATGATGTATGTATCTTGTCATTATAATTAGTAATGTATATGTTTAGAACTTACTAGTTGCTTGGTATTGATACCTAAATAAAAAGAATAACTTCTTTTGGAATCTTGAAACAAAGTAAACAGACCTAGGGTCTTTTTCTATCAAGCTGCTTTGAATGTTCTTGAATGTGCTGTTCAAAATCAAGACACATAAGAAAATTCTCTTATTTTGTAGAACATATACATTGTTATAATAAAACTTTGGAGTGGGGGCTGGTGCTATGGCTCAGCGGTAGTGCACTTGCCTGGCATGCGTGAGGCACTGGGTTCAATTCTCAGCACCACATATGAATAAATAAATGTCTATCAACAACTTAAAATATATATATAAACTTTCGACTGTTAGGTGTTAACTCTAGGTAAGAGAGTACTGTCATTCAACAAACATTATGATTGGGTAAACTACAAAAATATTAAAAGGAGCCCAGAAATAATTTTTATAGCAAAATCCAGTATGGTAATTCACTAACACTGTGACTATTTTAGAAAAAAGCTAACAGGTATTAATTTGCATATCAGAATGTCTTGTGTGTGCAAAGAGCAAATAAAGGTGAAAAAAGAGTTGCTATGAAAAGACTATCAGAAAAATAAGATGAAATTCACTGCTAGAGATAGTATACATGTTTACATTTTCTGTTTCTTACTATGAATGTGTATGACATTTTCTAGTCACTTCTTAAAAATTATTTGGTACTTTGTATAATTTAGGAGATGTTAAACTGCTCTAATTTATATGTATGAAAAACTCTGGTACTGTAACATTTATTTATTTTATTCTCTCTCCCTTAGTACTGGGAATTGAACCCAGGGGCACTCTGCCACTGAGCTACATCCCAGCTCTTTTAAAAAAAAAAAAATTAAATTTTTGAAACAGAAACTCCCTAAGTAGCGCAGCTTTGCCCCAAATTTGTGTTCTTTCTACCTCAACCTTCTAGGTCTCTGGAATTATAGGTGTGTGCCCTCATTTTATTCATAATTAAAGCATAAGTGATTCAGTTGAACAAGCAAATTAAAATTTTTAATCAAGAAATAGCATAATATGATTTAGTTTGAATTATATTTCAAGTCTTAGCTTTAAAATTCTGAAATGATATTTATTTTGTAGGTCCTTTTTTATCATAGGGTGAAGATTAAATTAAATATCTTATAGCTGAACTTAACCTTTTGATTCTTTTGAATATTTCAGTGATTAAAAGTGAATGTCCAGCACCTATCCCCCAGTACTCTCACACTGTAGCATTGAATTTAAATCTGAAACTTAATATTGATTCAAATTATTTTCCCTGCCTTATTTACAGCTGCTGTTTTTATTTTTAAGGAATGGTCGTTGGAGGTCAGAGTGGAAGTTTACAATCACTCCTTCATCAACCACTCAAGTGGTTGGCATCTTGAAAATTCAGGTATGAAACAACAAGTTTCTGATGTCTGGCATGTTCTGAACAAAGAAACAACTAATTCATGAGTTTACATTTTCATAGTATACCAAATGTCTTTTCCAGATTTTTCTTTCTTGCACAGTGATAAAACTAAGTAGTTCTGTTTAAATCTTTTAAATAATCTTGCAGTTCATTCCCTAGTCATGAAAAATCTGCAAGGATAGCTGACAGATTCTAAAACACAGCTAAAATTAGATGCTGCCATTTGGTCTGCTCTTCATACAATTTGTTCATCTAAGCGTCTTCTGAGTTTGAGTTGTACTCTTCTGTCATCTCAGTTTAGTGGAGTTAGGTGAAGTATAATATTAAAATTTCTGTGGCTATATAACTATATATTACAATGTATAATCATATTACATATATTTTATAAATGTCTCCTGTACTCATCATATTTGGCTTCTTACCTGAGGTTCACTAGAAGTGAATTCTTTGACTCTTAATGTGAACTTAAATGTTTATATAGAACATTTGATAACTATTACAGGCTGATCTTTTTCTGTTTTAGTTCACTAATTTGTTCAATACATTTGTTGATCAACTGTCATGAAAGTAATTATGCCAAGAGCTGTGAAAGAATAAAGATGAATCATATTGCGGCTCTGTCGTCTGACTCTAGTATACATTTCTAATCTTAGACCCATTGCCTTTGTGTCTTGGGACCTGTGCCTGAGGAAACAGAGAATAGAAGCCAAGAGCGTGAAATTCAAAATCATATGAGTTTGAATCCCCAGATCTGCCAGTTATTATTTGTATGATATGAGGAAGTCATTTAAGTTCCTTTTGTTTGTTTCCTCATTCATTAAACAATAACATTAAAAAAGCTTGCCTGATTGAGGATTAGTTAATATGAGTAAATAATTAAAAGAGAAGCAATATTTTGAAGGGAATAATTTGAATTCAATTTTGGACGTCTTGGATTTTGGTACCATTAGAACAGCTTTGAGGCAAAAGTATCTGGCAGACAGGTCAGTGGAAATTATTCACTTGCCTAAATGCAGGAAAATGTAGACTGAGGACAGGAAAAGTCTTGCTAGAGTTCCAAAGGTCTGGAGCTCCACAGAGAAGTCTGGACTAGAGCTGGCATGTATTCAGTCTACATTGATATAATTGCTGAAGCCATGAGGATCTTGATGGTTCCTATAATGTGTTGTGTGTAATTTCTTTTTCTAATAGGTTCATTATTATGAAGATGGTAACGTTCAGCTAGTGAGTCATAAAGATATACAAGATTACCTAACAGTGTCTGTAAGTATAATTTCACAGGAAAATGAAAACAATATCTTTTGTAAAACTAGAGGAGTTTCAGAACTAACATTTTCATAATATTTTCTTTTCTGATTCTGTTTTTCAAATAGATTAAAGGTGGTAATCATAATTCTGTACCTAACATTTTTTAAGCAGCTTTGTTGAGATATAACACACACCATTGAATTCATGCTTTTAAAATATAAAATTCAGTGCTTTTAGATTAACAGTTAGTCAACAATTACTGCAAATTAATTTTAGAACATTTTCATATTCCTATAAAGAAGCCCTCTATCCCTTTCTCCCCAGCCCTAATCCTAAGCCCAGCCCAGCCCTAAGCATCTACTAATCTATTTTCTGATTTACAGACTTGCCTATTTTGGACATTTTATATGAATGCAGTCATAAAATAATATGCAGTATTGTGTGACTGGCTTCTTTCACTTAGCACATTTTCAATGTTCATCCTTGTTGGATGATACTTCATTCTTTCCTATTACTGGTATATACCTTTTAGCCATTCATCAGTTGATAGACACTTCTATTATATTTTTACTTTTTGCTACTATGAACATTCGTGTACTGTTTTTAGTATAGACATTTGTTTTTTGTTTTTCTTTAGTATATACATAGGTGTGGAATTGTTGGATTGTGTGGTAACTGTATTTAGTATTTTGAAGACTTTCCAGACTTTTCCTGAGTAGCTGCACCATTTTACGGTTCCAAGCAGTGTATGAGGATTCCCATTTTTCCACATCCTGGTGAAAACTTGTCTTTTTCATTATAGCTATCCTAGTCAGTATGAAGTAGTATCTTATTGTGGTTTCTCTTTGCATTTTCCTGGTGGCTAATGATGTTGAACATTTTTTCATGTATTTACTAACCATTTGTATGTCTTTGGAGAATGTCTGGTTAGTTCCTTTGCCCATTTCTTAACTGGTTATTTCTGGTTTTATTATTTAGTTGCAGCTGTCTATATATTCTGGATACGGATCTGGGATCAGACATGTGTTGTGTAAACATTTTCACCCTTTTGTGTGTTGTCTTTTTCCTTCTTGTTTTTTGTAACAGGGATTGAACTAAGGGACACTAGACCACTGAGCCACATCTCCAGCCCTATTTTGTATTTTATTTAGAGAAAGGCTCTCACTGAGTTCCATAGCTCCTCACCGTTGCTGAGAATGGCTTTGATTCTCTTGTCTCAGCCTCCTGAACCATTGGGATTACAGGCAGGACCCACTACGCCCAGCTCTTTTTACTTCCTTATTAAAATTATTTAATTAATTTATTTATTTATTCAAATTAGATATCTATGACAGCAGAATGCATTTAGATTCATTTTAAACAAATGCAGCACAACTTTTCATTTCTTTGGATGTATATGATATAGCGTTGCACCATATGTGTAGTCATATGTGTACCTAGGGTAATGATGTCTATCTCATTCGACCATCTTTCCTGCCTCTATGACCCATCCCCTCTCCTCCCTCCCCTTTCCCCAAAGTCCCCCCATTCTTCTCTTCCCCCCCCCCCCCAATTATGGATCAGCATCCACTTAACAGAGAGAACATTCTCTTTGGCTTTTGGGGATTGGCTTACTTTGCTTAGCATGATATTCTCCAGCCCCATCCATTTACCTGCAAATACCATAATCTTATTCTCTTAATGCTGAGTAATATTCCATTGTGTACTGCAAATTGGTGCAACCAATCTGAAAAGCAGTATGGAGATTTTTTAGAAAACTTGGAATGGAACCACCATTTGACCCAGCTATCCCACTCCTCAGTCTATACCCAAAGTTCTTAAAATCATCATGCTGTAGTGACAGAGCCACATCAATGTTTGTAGCAGCTCAATTCACAATAACTAACTGTGGAACCATCCTAGAAGCCCTTTGATAGATGAATGGATAAAGAAACTGTGGTATATATATACACATTGGAATATTACTCTTTTTACTTTCTTAGTGGTATAATTTGCAGAACAGAAATGTAGTATGTATATAGTCTCATTTTTCTTTTATTATTTGTGCTTTTGATATATATTACTAGAAACCATTGCGTAACCCAAGGTCATAAAGGTTTGCTTCATTTTCTTCTAGAGTTTTATAGTGTTAGTGCTTACATTTAGGTATGTGATCCTGTCCCTAATTTTTAAACTGCATTGTATGTTATGTTATTCTTTCTGTGGAATATAGAACTGTTTTCTTGTGAATTTTTTTTTTTACCCCAAAGATATTGAGAATATAACATTAAGGTGACATTTGTCCATAAATGTTTGTGTTCATATATAAAAATACCACTTTAGTATAAACATTAATTGCCAGTGTACAAAAATTAGCAAATAAACAATAAAGAAAAGTTATTTTTAATTTTAAGAAAGTTTTAACTCTGGGATAGAGTGGATACTACCCCAGACAAAGATGCTGTATGTTTTAAAAAATTCTACAGTATTTAGATGGTTTCTACAATTGTGCTAGGTACTATTCTGGTTGCAAAGTCTGCTAGGGAAAGAAACCTAACTTCTGTAAGATTTTATGTGGTACTGAGGATCTAACCCAGTGCCTCATGCTTGCGAAGCGAGCGCTCTGCCACTGAGCCAAAACCCCAGCCCACATGTCATGTTCTTTGCATAACAAGAGCACTTGGTATTGTCTTCTTTGGGAGTGTGATGTTAGGGAAAAATTCTTCCTAAGAGAGATTTGTTCAGAAAATTGTAGACTATGGGATTATAAGAGTTGGTCATAGTGATTACCTTGGCTATTATGTTGGTTCTGAGTCTTAGTAATTTTTTTTTTTTTTTTTACTTCATTGTATGTAGGTTTTGTTTTATTATTTTAGGAAAGAGAAAAATTTATCTCATTTTCACACATATATTTATGTAATGTATTTAGATACTCATGCACACACATAAAATATAAACAAAGGTACCAATGAATTTTACATTTTTAAAAAATGTAGATTTCTCTTGACTTTAAAATTAGGAAAAAGGTAAGCAAAACCAAATACTGGCATGTTAAAAATTTTTTCAGAAAATATTTAGATGGTAAAATAAGTTCACTTTAAACTTTAAGATATGCACTGCCAGATTAATAGTTTTGTATATTATTTTAGCGATAAACATTGCTTAGTAGATAACAGTATTTAGGTAAAGATAGTCATTAGTTAGAAATCTGTGTCTAATTTCTTACCTATAAAGGTTGTCTATTGGATTGCATCTTAAATATTACACTTGAATTTTCATCAGTGTACATTATTAAGATTTAACTTATTTTAATAAGTTAAATGTAGATACCAGGCTCATTCTGTGGACTTTTAAAATACTTTTGCCAGGTTCCCCTTGGACTTAGAGTAATTGATCATACAGTTTTCCTTTTACTTGTTACCATCTTCATCTGTGTTATTTATTAAATTGTAATATTTTATTAACCATGCATATATTTAAACATAATAGTGTCTTAGTTTTAAATTACTGTTTCATTTACTTTTTGTTATATTTTTTATTCAGAGTGAGATGCAGACAGCAAAAGAATTTATAAAGATTGTAGAAGCTGCAGAAAATGAATACCAGGTATGATTTTTAAAAGTATAATGTATTTTCACTTATGAATGGCATTGAAATTTTAATTTCAACCATACTCCTGAGTTTTTTCATTTTTTTACCATATGAAATACAGTCATCTTCTTGTGTGTTTGCTTTGAGTACAAGGGCAGACTTGTAAAAGTAGAGCCAAAAAGAGTGGGAAATAAATTAAATTCAATTAAATTTTATAAAATTTGTAAAATTTTAAAAATAATAAGCCTCAACTTTAGCTAACTGAAATTTCTGAGTGTGGGTCAAGTATGCCAAGATTTCTAATTTTAAGAGATGTTCCTTAAACTATTTGAACTGTTTGTAATCTGCTTTAGATCACATTTGATTTTATACTCTACCATTTACATTATTTATCAGTTTCTAAACTACACACTTGAATTTAAGCATTTAATTTGTAATTAGATAAGTTCCTACCCCTTGTAAACAGTCATTCATAAGTTGTTCTGAATTAAATAATAAAATAGATTTAAAATGAGAACAAGTATTAAATCTAATTTATAATTTCATTTCTTTAAATTAAATTATTTAAAATGATTATAAGCTTCTTGTAAATGGTTATAAACAGCTTTTAATAAAACCATATTGGGATTTTTTTATTTGACTGTGAGCAGTGAAATAGGCTGCTTAAATAAAGATTGTTATGAAAACATTAATGTGTTATACATTGTTTTGTTCATTTCATTTGTTTTAAACTTCTGACTACTGTTTTTCATAGACTGCCATCAGTGAGAATTATCAGACAATGTCGGACACTACTTTCAAAGCCTTACGTCGACAGTTGCCAGTTACACGTACTAAGATTGATTGGAACAAGATTCTTAGCTACAAGATTGGCAAAGAGATGCAGAATGCATAAGATGAACATTGCATGACCGGATCATTTTAGTGTCTTTGCGTTTTAAAAAAAAAAATTGTTGCAAAAGTATTCAGAACTGTCAAGCTGCCCAGTCAACATGGGCTATTGCCATTTAAAATCACTGTAATTAATTAGTTTGGTTAGAGCACAAAGCTTAGCTAATCAACCATTATTTTTCTTTTTTTTTGTTCGAAGAGGGCTGAAAATGAGTTTAGTTTAAGTGTCCTTTACTTTCTGTTATTATTTCCTTTCTTTCTTACAATGAAAAGATGATTCCTCTAGTTTATGGTTAAAAGTTTTTGAAGTATTTCAAAAATATTTTACTTACTGTAACCCTAAAATTGTCTTTTGGCTTATGAAATGGGTAACTTTTGATATTAGCCCAATTCTTTTTAATGGGGTCAATAATGGACATTCTAGTTTAAGGTGGTTGATAGACTTAGCCATATATGCTGCTAAAGAAATTGTCTACCTTCCCTTCCCCTCACCTCTTCCACTTATGTAAGATTGAGATTAAAGAAAAAGCATTTTCTATATCAATTGTGTTAAACCTTTCAGTAAGGTTATTTAGCTAGCTTAGTGTTTAACTAAACTTTTTTTAAACAAGGCCAAGGTCTATTGCTATTTTGAGATTCTGAAATTAAATGAGAATACTTACTTCAGAAATGCATCTAATGCTTTTTTTCTTGTGACAGTTACGCAAATTAGCTTGAATTCCGTATGTCCCTGAGTTATTTTTATCATAAAGCCACAAATGTATTATAACAAGGCAAATTGTAATATATATAATCCTGAACTCATGACCATGTCTCAGTTTATTTTTTTTTCCTTGGATTGAAAAGTACTGAAATTCAATGTGACATTAAAATGAAAATTTTCCTATTTATTTGAGTACAAAATCACCAGTGAGTCCTATACTATTTTGAAATATTTTCTTTGGATATTGTAATTCTCAATTCATTGTAACTTAAAAAATCTGGGAGTACATATAGTGTGCAGTCTTAAGTTTTTCCATCTTCCTATGCATCATGAGCATGTTTGTAATATTTTAAAAAATAGATTTACTGATACCACAGGAATTTTAAGCCTGTGGTAAGTGTTAGTATTTACTATAAGGAGTTGGGTGGATTTATGGGTTCTTTCAGTAGAGTTTTAATGCTTATACTGGAGTGGAATCCATTCTTCACATACTCCTACAGATGTCTGGGCCTGGAAATGTTTTTTTAAAAAAAACAACAAAACACCACTTTTATTATGTATAATAAAATATTTCATTAGCTTGAGTTGTATAGATTTTTTAAAATTCTCTCAAAGCATGTTATTTAATTTCTTTTTAAAATCACTTGGACTTTGAAAGCACTGAGAATATAATATGAAATTATGACATCTGGGGCTAATTTTCTCTTTAGTTTAGAAGTTTGGGCATATTGGGATGCCCAAGGAATAATGAATTGATAGCATTAATTATCTGCTCATTTTAAAAGATACTCTCAAAAATTTGAAAACAATTCTGAACTATAGATACCAGGTAAATCTGTATTGAAGCTTGGTTGTATCACTTGGATTATTGTGGATTTATATGGAGGCCAATTATTTTGGCTGTTTTATAATTTGGAAGACATTCTTGAAAATAAGCAGCTGTTTTTTAAGATTTGCATGTGAAAGGTAGAATTATCAAAAGTAATTCAGAACACATGCCAAAATAATGGTTGCTCAGTAGACTAGCATTTTATAGGCTATGAATCACATTTTATTACAGTAAAAGATGAATGAAGTTCAGGAATATGGTTTTAATAGGAACCCTAAAGGCTACTATGTTGAATAGGCTGAGGTGTGGGAGCAGAAGCAGAACAAGTAGGAGGCTACTGCAGTAGTGCTGTTGAAAGAGACTGCTGTTGTGGACCGAGGTGGTTATAGAAGTGGTGAAGTGGTAGATGAAACAGCTAGATTTGCTAAGAGCATGATTGTTGAACATGAAATAAAGAGAATAGATGAGGGTGTTTGAGGCTTGAGAAATTGGGGAAGATTCTGGAAGGAGCAGGTAGGGGTTTGGGGCAGGGATCTGGTTAGCAGCTTGGTTTTAGATTTCAAGGGGAAATACCATGTAGCAGGTAACAGGAAGCAAAAGAATGCTCTGGGTTAAAAGAATGGGAGAGAGAATGAGCCTGGGAAACAGTTTGATAGCCAAGATGAAAGACTCCTCCATTAGTGATAATTGGTTTAAAGCTGCATAAGAGCAGGCATAGAGTGCTTGAATTGAATTCAACCTAGGCTGTTTTGACAGTAGTGACTGAATTCATGAAGAGGGATACAGAGTTCCAGCGATGGCCTATGGAATTTAAGTTGGGTTAAGCAAGGAAGTGAGAACATTGCAAGGAGAAGAAGGCTAATGAAAATGTGGCACACTTGATGGATTATTGGTATGTTAAGATTGGGGCACTAGAAACAGAGAAATTGATAGTGGTGTGCTTAAGATTGAGATTTTTGAGGTATTAGAGTAATAACTGAGCGAAGGAGAATAAGAATGCAGAAAACCTCAAAGCCTCAGTTTGGAGAGATCATTTCTGAATACTGAAATCAAATATTCTGTAAAATATAAGTGTTCTGACATGAGTGCTATTTTTCCAGACTATACAGATGCTCCTTGACTTACAGTGGGGTTACAGCCTCAATGAACCAACCATTAGAAGCTGAAAATGTTGGAGAGTCCAAATGCATTTAATACATTTAACCTTTCAGACATCATAGCTTAATATGGTTTACCTTAAACATGGCCAGAACACTTCCACTAGTCTACATTTGAACAAAGTCATCTAAAACATGCCTGTTCTATATTAAAATACTGAATACCTTGTAGTTTATTGAACCCTGTACAAAAGTGAACAACAAATTAGTTGTGTGGGTACGGCTTTCACACCATTGCGAAGTCAAAAAATGTAAATCAGTTCCCATCTTTACCTGGATATACTATGTTTCATTAATGTTTATTATTATAAGTTATGCAAATATGTGGTATATATGTTCATGAGGCTTTTCGTTGTTTGGGATTTTTGGAAACTAAAATTTAGGGGACAAGACCTTTTAATAGAAATGTGTCCTGGAAATTCTGATTTCTTACAAATTCCTAAAAAGTGAAATTCTTAGTAAGTTAGTTAAGGATAACTATAGACAGGTGTTTCTAGCATTTTAATAGCCTTTTCTATGTTTAAAATTATTTAGACTTTTAATACCACACTGAAAGCTTTGGAAAACGGAAGATGCTTTCAAAAGATCTTCACACTGAGCATTGGCCAGGTATTGAGTATAAAATATAAAAGCATATTTAGCCAACAGTTGACTCAGGCTTTATAATGGATGCATGTTATAAAACATCCCAAGAAGAATGTGTCTTTCTGTTCCCTTATGGTGGATTATTTCAAAGCAGAATCACAGAATCACAAAATCGTCTAAATTTTGGTACTTGAAAAACTCAGAGCTTTTTAAAGATACACTTTTTGTTTTGTCATCTGCAAATTGGACATTTTGGGTATTATGCAAAAGCTTTACTGTATGATTGGCCAGGAGTGCTAGCTATTGAAGAATATATAAGTATTTACCAATTAAACTTAAAAGGGCCAATTAAACTTTTAAGGTCTTGTAGATAACAGAATTCAATGTCGTGTCATTTAAGATTAATCAGACTATATCCAAAGGACTATTCTAGGAATTATAAAGTTATGAAAATATGAAACTGTTTCTTAAAGGAGTCTAAATTTGTCATGGACCTGTAGCAGCATTTTCCAGTCTTTTCCTCATCACAACATATATGGAAAAGGCTGGAACTCATAAGGCACATTGCAGGGAATGGGTAAGTCAGCTTGCTGGTTGAGGGAGTCAGTTTTTTAGCTCACTTTGAATCTACTTAGGAAGTAGAGACACAAATAATACATTGAAGGACATGTTTATTTTAAGATTCAAGGTGGTTATAGTTACAGTGGTGCACACCTGTAATCCCAGTGGCAGGATTGTGAGTTCAAAGCCAGCCTCAGCAAAAAGCAAGGCGCTAAGCAACCCTGTCTCTAAATAAAATACAAACTAGGGCTGGGAATGTGGTTCAGTGGTTGAATGCCCCTGAGTTCTATCCATGGTAAACCCCTCCCCCTCCACCACCATCAAAAACAAAACAAAAAGATTTTAAGATTCTTCAAACCTTACTTACCTAAGGTGTCTAGCCAAGGAAGGTTTTCTGGAAAGGATGAGTTTTAAGCTCTACTTGAGCACACTAATATATTTTTTTTAAGTATGCATGTAACTGGTAGGCAGGAGATCCCCTCATATATCAGTAAAGCATCAGAATACAGATAACAGGCTCCTAGAATAGAGATGTCAGAAATCAAAAAACATCCAGTTGAAAACTAAATCTGAGGGCTGGGGTTGTGGCTCAACGATAGAGCACTCACCTAGCATGTGTGGGGCCCTGGTTCCGATCCTCAGCACCACATAAAAATAAAGTCATTGTGTCCAACTACAATTAAAAAAAAAAAATTTAAATCTGAGTTGTTAAAACACCACAGTACAAAATGAAATTACTCAGAATAAAGTTAAAAATATAAGTGTTCTTATAATCTATAATGTGGCTAATGAGATACTAAGATTTTTTATCCCTAGTTTTGGTATAACCTAACAGTGTATATTAATTTAATTCAATTTTCATTTGTGTGCATTGTAACTGAATCAGAGAACAAACATTTCTTCTACACAGACTGACTAGAAAACATGTATCACAGATGCCTTATCAGCCCCTCATTGTAGCAACAAATCTCCATTCATTAGCTTGTAGGACTACATGGAATTGAACTCTGATTTATAGATTAAAAGAAGACTGTGAAGGAAATAAAATTGTTGTTTCTTAGAATAATGGGTTCTTAGGAAAATTTGTAAAATGCCCAGTCTTTTTAGCCAAATAAATTTCCAAGCAGTTCTCTTACTAAAAGAATACCCCAGTCTTGCTCACTGAACTGTAGAAACTTATCTTCATCTTTGTCTTCATGTTGTGTGGTGCTAACTTGCCTACCTAGCAAAAGCTGTACTGATTCTGAATACAGATACCTGTCTTCCCAGACTTTTACCTAGAAAAGTGAGCGCTTGCCTCCTGTTTCCCAAAATAATACCCAAAGGAAATACCCAGGAACTGAAGTTGCAGCTCTCCTAGGTATAAATTAAGCACTTGGGAAGACTTTTTAGTTCTTTTCCAACAGTAAAATATGGAGGATCAGGGTTCTGACGAGTGTTTCAGGCCCTGAAAGCATATCAGTTGATGAAAAAGCAAAGTAAAAAATGAGGAAAATAAGGAGGAAAGCCAAGAAAAGAAAATCCTGCCCATGTACAGTAACTTTTTTCCTCACTGGGACTTTATGGAGGAAAAAGGAAATAAATTCCATTGAAGGTACTAGAAATGTCAAAAAACCTTAAGCCAATCTAAATATCTGGCAATGAAGAATGAATGCACATAGTGTGGATTGTTCTATTGCATAGCATAGAACTTTTGAGAACTCATATTTCAGAGCTTCATATAGAAACATACTACAAAAATGTTGAGAAAAGCAAGTTATGGAAGGTACACTAGGATATTGTGTTTAAAAATGTGTAAGATAATATATTTGTTTTTATCATTTTATATAGATCAAATGTATAAAACTTGTAATGGACTACAAAGCCAAATCCAGATAATAAATGTGAGGGGGACATAATAAAGAGTGGGATTTGGGAATGGCACAGAGATTCGATTGCACCTCTGGGAGTTTCTTAAACTGGTTGATATGTATACAGGTGTTCATTTCAACATTCTCACTTTTTTATTATGCCTATTTTTCACTTAAAAATTATAACTTAGGCTCACATTTAGAACTTCATGAAATAGATATAAAACCTGACTTAGGTAGAAAAGTGGCAAAGTTCATATCCATATACTAAATTGAAGAGAAAATTTTCCAATACCTTTTGAAAAAGTCACTAAATTCATATGTCTTATAGTGAATTTTATCTGTTTCTGTATTTAGATAATTTTCTGTGTTACAGGAATTATTCTAGGTGGTAAGAAAAAGTGTAGCAAAAGTTTTAAAATAGTGTCAAAAATTTTTAAAAAGACTGATGAAATTTCCTTGTAAAGTTGATAGCAAAATTTCTTAACCTATCAATAACCAAGAATACTACATTGTGGCCAAGTGTAATTTATCCCTGGACTGCAATAATTATTTCTTGTTGGAAAATCTAGCAGTGCATCTTAAAGCTACGTTAGTATAGT